TAGAAACTAAATCCCCTACTTCAGGACATGGATAAGTCCTTGACCTTGCTGAAAGTTTCCTCCTCTACCTACTTCTATAAACTTCTACCCTCTTGTTGTCGGTTCCGACTCATAGTGACCCTGTACAGGGTTTCTGAGGCTATAAATTTACGGGAGCACAAAGCCTCATCTTTCTCCCGCGGCACAGCTGGTAGTTTCGAACTGCTGACCTTGTGGTTTGCAGCCCAATTTGGAGAGAAAAAAAATAGATAAGGGAGAGGGGAGAAAGCCTACTGATGGACCCTGTACCAAGATCCTTACACAAAGCTAGATACTCAGTCCTGTGGGCTGGCCCACATCTCTAACTGTGGTCTAATACAGCTTCTTAAGGTTCCTCCCTGATATTCTATGCTCTGCCTTAAGTCTTTCTGTGGGTCACGGCCCAGTCAAGAAGAGATGTGGCCTCTAGGAGCATGGAGGCCCAGCTAAGGATGTAGAAAAGGGGAAGAATTCAGAATTTGAAATTAGTTGGTGAAAGCAATGTAGACAGACATGTGAAAGGCCAGTCCTGTCCAAGCAACAGAAGTATAGGAGATGCTGCCCTTCTAGAACTACAGAAATTAGTTTTCTATACAAGAGAACTAACTGCAAATCATTCAGGGTAAAAGAAAGACCATGTCCCCTCAAAGATGGCCCCAGAAAGCAATCCCTACAGTCAAGTAGCAGTAAACTCTTTCCCCACTCTCCAAAGGATCTTAGTAAAAATCAAATGATAAATGCAATTGTCAATAACTGCTGGCAGGAATAGCTCTGTTCAGTGGAAGCCCTTCCTCCACGACAAGACCTGAAAGTAAATGTTTACCATCTCTTGAGCTAATTTTTCTAGTATTAGGACTACCTGACCATGTTGCCATGGCAGCAGCAGGTGGGGTGAGGGTGGAGGAGGAAGGCCTTCCAGTTTGTCACAATATCTACAGAAACCTGAAGACTAAAGTTAGAGGGATCCCTCTCACCTCAGTGTCTACTCCCTTAGATGAGTATCCTGTCTGGTTGAAATGTATATTAGATACTGCTCTCCTATGGAAAGGCAAAATGACTTTGAGGGACTAAATTTCACTATCATTGGAAAAGAAAGACAGGATCCAAACTACAAAATCCCCAAGGACCCACATTAGTAAAGTGATCCTGAACACAGCTGAGTTCTACATAGTCCACAAGCAGGAGTTCCACTTGGAAATGAAAAATGAAGATTTAAGGGAAAAACAACTAGAGATGACTCAAAGACCATCCTCTGGAGATTTCTGACACATAAGATATGAATTATTCCTTGGGGAAAACCTATTAAAAAACAAAACCCACCTCTGTCAAAAGCATTCTGACTCAAAGTGACCCTGTATAGGACAGAGGAGACTGTCCCAAGGCTGCAAATCTTTACAAATTCAGACTGTTACATCTTTCTCCTGAGGAGCAGCTGGTAAGTTTGAACTGCTGACCTTTCACTTAGCAATACAGTGCTTAACCACTGTGTCACCAGGGCCCATACTTATAAATCCACTGCCATCAAGTCAATTCTGGCTCACAGTGAAGTGCCGTCGAGTCGGTTCCGACCCACAGCGACCCTGTACAAGGTTTCCGAGGGTGTGACCCTATAAGGCAGAGTAAAACTGCTCCATAGTATTTCAAATATTGTAAATCTTTATGGGAACAAAAAGCCTCATCTTTCTCCCACAGAGCACTGGTGGGTTTGAACCACTGATCTTAAGAGTCAGCAGCCCAATGCTTAACCCAGTGTGTCACTGTGGCTCCCTTTATACCTACAACAATTAGAGATGATTCAAAGCTCATTCTCTGGAGATTCCTCACAGTTAGGATATGAATTAATCCTCGGGGAAAACCTATTTAAAAACCAAACTCATTACTATTGATTCTATTCTGAATCTGACCAAATGAAGAAAGGGCACCTCAGAAGAATGGGCTAGCGATTTACTTGTCCCCAAAATCAGCCACTGAAAACCTATGGAGCACAGACCTACTCACACTGTTGTTGTTAAATGCTGTCAAGTCGGTCCTGACCCATAGTGACCCTGTATAGGGTTTCCAAGGAGTGGCTGGGGAGCTTAAACAGCCGACCCGTGGTTTAAAACGACTTTGCAGTCCAGTGCATTAACCCATGCGCCACACCAGGACTCCACTCAGACATACTGAGGTTGCCAATCGACTTGCCAGCAAGTAGTTTTGTTGTTTTTTTGATGTGAATGTATTAACTCAATCTTTAGATAGTAAGTTCCAGAAGCCAGACCTTAGGTCTCCCCATCCTGCTTTCCTATCAAGACTCTGCACACAATATGGTCTACAGTCGGGAGGCAATGGGTAGGCCTGTGATGGGAAACAAACAAGCAGAAGTTGGTCAGTCAAAACTAGGTTTTGATAACTTCTGTGTACAGAGGTCTGTAGGATACTCAGCGGAAGAAATCAGTAGTTCTTGCCCTTAGAGACATTCTGATCTAGTGGGGATAATAGAAACACACACATTGGGGGGGATGGTGTGGCAAGACTTACTGGAAAATTCAGAGGGAAAGGACAAAGGGCAAGGAAGGAAAGAAGATACGTTGGGCCATGCTGGGAAAAATCTACACCACAAAAAGGATGAGATTTAAAAAAAAGAGGTCCTTCCTCCCCTCTCTTCCCTAAAAACAGTTGAAAGTTCACTCTCAGTTTAAAAAAAGGCAAGAAAATAAATGCCTTCTCTCTTTTGTGACCCACCCCTCCTGTCATATCAAGAAGTCCTGGTAGTGTAGTAGATTAGCTGGGCTGCTAACCACATGTCAGCAGTTCAAATCTACCAGCCACTCAGCTGTAGAAAGATGAGACTTTCGGCTCCCGTAAAGATTTACAGCCTTGGAAACCTTATACAGGGTCGCTGAGTCGAAAGTGACTTGGCACACAACGACCACCACCTGCCAGATCACTTTATTCACTAACAAATCACAGTTCAGAACAGGATGCGATTCTACTCTAGTGGTACATGATAGAGCAGAAGCAGAATGAACCCTTTATGAATCCGACACGGATTTTCATCTAACCATCATTTTTCCTCTATCCAAGCAGTCAATCAACTACTGACTTCCTATCAATCTAGAATTTCAATGCTAGACTACACCATTACCAGTTGCCACGGAGTCCATTCCAACTCATGGGACAGGACTCAAGTATTTTCATGATGACAGTGGGTAGTCCAAATTGCCAGCCAATCCCGAAGTCATTTTCATTTGTTTTGGTAACCTATTGTTTTTACAAACATTGGTTTTGTTCCTATTTATATTTACCTTAGCTGATAAAAACAACAGCAAAACCAAATTTATCTAAATGCACCAGATTAGTTGGAAGCAGCATGATGGAAAGCCAGCCTATGAGTAGATATTTGCTGGTAGATAAAATCCACAAAGTTGCTATCCAGCAACTTCTTGATTCAAACTCCTCCCCCAAACTCATTTCTCCATATATGCTCCATCATCTTGTATCTGACCCAACATTTTTCAAATCTAAAATATGAATTTCATTTGCCTGTTTCTAACACCTGATAAAGTGCAGTAACAAAGTTAAGAGATAGGGAAGGGACCAGGAAATACCAGGGCTTGTTAATTTACTCATCCTATTCCTGGATAACCAAGAGTTGAATGTATCTGGCCAGTCACATCTTGGTCCTGGGTCAAATGTTTTCTTGTGTAGAAGTGAAAAAGGAATACATCATCAACGCTGGGTTGCCAGGGACAGGGGTAAGATACACAAATGAGGGGGAAGGGTCAACTATCAGATCCCGCAAAGTCCCTTATTCAGGCCCATTACAATGCCTCACCCATCCTTTGTGTATGTGCTCTCTAGTTGTGAAGGGAAATCCCCTAGGTTCCAGTTACCCCCTCAACACACACACACACACACACACACACACACACACACTACAGTGGCTGATGCTGTCAAACTAAGTTATTCACTTTAACTCCAAGTCTCCACTCACTCTAATTGCCCAAGGGGACATCACTGGCCAATGTTGTTGTTGTCAAGTGCCGTTGAGTCGATTCCAACCCATAGGGGCCCTGTATAGGGTTTCCAAGGAGCAGCTGGTGAGCTTGAACCGCCAACCTTGCAGTTCAAACAGCTTTACAGTCTGGCGCATTAGCCCACAGTGCCACACCAGGACTGTGCTTAAACAACAAATGATACCATTCAACAGGATGATCCTAGGTCTGATGCAAGCTCTGATCAGCTCCCAGACAACAACACACACAATCCCCTACTCCATCCCACAGACACTGGTTCTCAACTCAATATATTCATGACCTAAATCTTTAACATTAAGAATAATTGTGACGTCTTACGTGGGAAGGGATGTCAAAAGTAAATTTGGTCAATCTAAAGGCTCTATAGGAGTCCTGGTGTGGCATTGTGGGTTAATGCGCCAGACTGCAAAGCAGTTTGAACTGCATGGTCAGTGGTTCAAGCTCACCAGCTACTCCTCGGAAACCCTATACAGGGTCGCTATGGGTCGGAATCGACTCAACAGCACTTAACAACAACAAAAGGTTCTATAAGGAGTTCTGGTATCGTACTGGTTACAGTTGGGCTGCTAACCTCAAGGTCAGCAGTTCGAAACTACCAGCGGTTCCGTGGGAGAAAGATGAAGCTTTGTGCTCCTGTAAAGATTTACAGCCTCGGAAACCCTATACAGGGTCCCTATGGGTCGGAACCAACTCGACGGCACTTCACAACAACAACAAAGGCTCTATGTGTGTCCCTTCCTCACCAACACCCCCAACCCATGTTAGTACTGGTGGCTGCTGTTACTATGACAATCTGTCCAGGAAGTTGGCCCACACGTATTACTTCAGGAGCAGGAAGTCTGGAACAGTGTTTGTGTTGCCTTAGGGAAAAAAAACGTAAAGACCTCCTCTCCACCCCCCACCGCGCCCAGTATCCCTCCTCAACCCGATTTCTTAACTCCCTTTCCCACCCCCCACACCTACCTCCTCTAACTCATCCTTGGCATCCAAACTGGTTGAAAGTAGCAGCCTCCCCCCTCCTGGGGCTCCTGCTCCCGCTCCTCCACCTCCCGCTGCTCCCGAAGCAGCTGGCGCTGCTGCCCCTTTTCCCTTCTGTAACTCCATGTGCTGCAGCCTGCAGACGGGAAAAGGTCAGGGAGTGGACAGGTAGCAAGTCCTAGAAACGGGGAACGCTGGTTTGCCAGAGGCAGGGGCCAGGAGTAACCTGTGGGGGGCAGGTGGAGGGCTGCGGTCCACTCTGCACCTCCCTCCTTCCTTAAGGCTGCTTCTGGCAAGAGGCGAAGAGGCAGGGCCCTCTAGGTCCTGCCTCTGGACTAGTGCAGAAGAAGAGCCTTTAAGCTCTTGCTCCTAACTATTGGGAGAGTTAGGGTCTTTTCCCCTAGGGGAAGAGGAGCGGAGGCTTCTACTCCTGAAGAATTCGAAGGGGAGCCCTTTCTGGCTTCTGACCCTGAGAGAAAGAAGGAAAACTCTTAAGTTTCTGCCTAAAGAGATGGGAGAGGAAGATGAGTCCTGCCCCTTAAATAGAGGATAGGAAACCTTCCTGTCTGCTGTCCTAAGGATTTGGGGAGCGAGGTTCCTTTGTATCCCGCCCCTAAAGGTTGAAATTGGGGCAGTAAGCGCTATAGGAGGGTACGGAGGACCGGCTTCTCCCCACACCACACAGTGGCGGCCATAGTGGAAGGGAGGGGGGTGGGAACGCTGAGGCCGACGGCTGGGAGGGAGAGAATGGTCGCAGCCCGTTCCGGAAGTGAGCAGTCACCGTCGGTCTCGGCCAATAGCGGCTGCCGCAGTGGAGCTGAGCACCGAAGAAGTCAGCAGACGGCGGCCAACTGCCCTTTTCCCCAGTTGCCAATTGGATTGGGAAGAGAGCCGGTCGGATGGATAACCAAAATACCCAATTGCATCTCTCCCTTCCTCTCGGAGGGGCGGAACGGAACGACTGCTCCTGGAGGTGAGGCGGGTGTGTGAGGCGATCCGGAAGTGGAGCTGCTGCGCCTGCGTGCGTTGGCGCACATGCGCGGTAATAGCCTCTGACCTTTCCGCAATGGTTCTGGTCTTCACTGGTTGTGGGAATCTGGGGCACGCGCCCTTGCAACCGGTTTACTGTCCCCTGGTGGCTTTGGGATACTCACGAAGCCTAAGCCACAGATTGGTAGTGTAGGGAGAGGGAACGCATCCCCGATTAAACAGTCCCGGGGCAAGCACAATCTGATAGTGTCAAGCCAACTTCGAAAACAGAATACTCGTATAACACATGCAAGCGCTCGTACTCAAGCAAGCTTAGCTACCAATCAAATGTTGCAAAAAAGTGCTTGGATTCACTTGTGTAAATCATTGAAGTCGGGCCAGCAGTAGCACAATGCTAAGCTTTTGTTGGTGTTAGGTTCTGTAAGTTGATTTCTACCCTTAGCGAACAGTAGAACTGCCCTATAAGATTTTCTACGTTGTGATGTTAATGGGAGCAGATGTGTTAAGTGGCGTCAAGTGGTTTACGACCACAGCGAACCTGTTGGGATTTCTGAAGATTGGCTGGTGGATTTGAACCACCAACCTTATGGTTCAAACCGAACTTGTGGTCTAGTCCCGTGGAGTTGCTGAGTCAGTTCCAACAACTAACCCAGCAACAGAGCTTAGCCATTGGCCGGCAGAGCTCTTTGCTTAGCATATGTTGTTAGGTGCCAACTACTAGGTACAAACGAAAAGCTCCCTGGTTCTTTGCCATATTTAAGTCCTGGCTGTGTTTGAACCCGTTGTTGTAAACACTGTGTTAATTCATCTCCTTGAGGGTCTTCCTATTTTTAAAAAAAATTTTAATGACCCTTAAGGAGTCCTGATGTGGCACTGTGGGTTAATGCACTGGACTGAAATGTTGGTTTAAGCAAGGTCAGTGGTTCAAGCTCACCAGCCACTCCTTGGAGACCCTATACAGGGTTGCTATGGGTCGGAACCAACTCGACAATACTTAACAGAGCAACAACCAAGGAGTCCTGTGTGGCACTACAGGTTAAGCATTGGGCTGCTAACCCATCAGCTACTCCTTGGAAACCTTCAACAGGAAATCTACTGGATGGCACTTAACAACAACCTCCACTGAGCATTATGGGAAATACGAAGGGGACTGTGAACCACAAGGTCTGACGTTCTTGCCCACCAACTGCTCCATGGAGAAAGATGAGACTTTCTGTTCCTGTAAAGATTTACAGCCCTGGAAACGCTATACAGGGCCGCTATGAGTTGGAAACAGCACATAACCACCACCACCACCTGGTTCTGTAACCTAGCACATATGAAAATTTAAATAAATTATCAATCACTACAGTCAACAATTTGAGATCAAAAGGGACACATTTCAGGACAAAGTTCAAAAGTCAGGAAGTGTTAGGAAAGGAGAAGGAAACAGGATAGAAGTGGGATGATTGGGAATTAAAACCAATGATAGGAAACAAAATGTGTCTGCATTGCTGAATGGAATACTGGTTTGCCCTGTATAAGCCTTCACCCAATTCAAAATAAGAAGTTTAAAAACTCATATTTAAAAAATTAGTAAGTAGCTATCTGAGAATGGCGATTCATTCATTCATTATTAGAAATGCTTCAGCAAGCTCTATATTATCCTCCCAACTTCATAAATGTCAGTGTCAGCATTTGTCCCCTTGCAACCCAGTCCTGGTGTGGCGCTGTAGGATAAGCACTGGACCTTGAGGTTGGTTTGAACTGAAAGGTCAGCAGTTCAAGCTTTCCAGCCTCTCCTCAGAAACCCTATACAGTGTAACTATGAGTCGGAACTGACTTGACTGCACTTAACAACAACAACCCAATGCAGAAGCTTGTTGCTTTTGACATTGATCACGTTTTCTCCCAAATTCTATCAATAACTAAAGGCCTTTTGATTTTTCTTAGAAATGTCTCTGCAATTTGTTCCTTCCCCTCTGGCTACTACTAAACAAAAATAGATAGATAGATAGATAGATAGATAGATAGATAGATAGATAGATAGATAGATAGATAGATATGTTAAGTGGTGGTGGTATGCTGTGGAGTCGATTCCAACTCACAGTGACCCTGCGTAGAGTTTCTGAGGCTCATAAATCTTTACAGGAGCAGAAAGCCTCATCTTCCTCCCATGTAATCCCTGGTAGTTTAAACTGCTGATATTAATGTTAGTAGCCCAACCTCATAACCACTACTCTACCAGAGCT